ATTTTAACATTATTTATTTATTTATTTTAATTAATTATTTTATCAAAAAAATTCACTTTATTTTTTAGTTACAATCTAAAGATAATATAAATAAATATATGAATTATCTCAAATATTTAATTTAGAAAAAAAATAAAAAAATAGTTATTTTAAAATATATAAAGTAATTAATATAGCTTTTAGCAATCAATTTGTATTAAAAAATTAAATTTTAATTATTTATTTATTTAATTAAAATCATACAAATAGTATTAGTATTAAAATTAATATCAAAATTTATATTTTATATGTTAATTAAAGACTAAAAAATGTATTTAAAAAAATCCCTTCTTAAGAGTGATCTCCGAAGAGAATCTTGGTAGTCAATAGAATATATTGAGTCGTCAATGTAATAAATCAATTTGGTCCCATAAAACACAAGAATAAATTGGATTAGAGATTCTCAATGAGATTTGTGTGCCCATTTCCCTTTGTCCGTGGTCCAAAGTCCAAGTGATATAACTGGCTCTTTGTAAGGAATTTAAGCCAAATTTTAAACAATTGAATGATAGATGACACATATAAACACCACATATTCATATATGCTCGAGATTGAAACTTATTTATCATTTGTCATTTTACACGACAAAATTTGAAACACAAGATAGAAAGAAAGGAAAAATATCGGCAAGTATACGTGTCATTTGTGATGCATCTTACTCAATCTAGCATTTTTCTTGATACACAATCCTCTTATCTATGATCACTCGAACAATTGAATGTGTTTATCAAATGATATGTCGTTTTCTTGGTACCATAGAATTTCATCTTGAATGTTTCTTTTTTTCTTTTGGATGTAGGCCAAAGGAAGATGAGGGACCAGCAAAAATCTAGAATTATAGGGATGGTAGAGATACGTGGAACTAATGTGATGTGGGGTCTTATTCATATTATCAAATTATACAGACTCATGTCTCTCTTAATCATTGAAATAAAATTTTCCCCTAATTGGTCATTTCATTTTAGCTCTCTGTTTAATCAACTAAATTCAATTCTTAAGGAAAATCCAATTATAAAATGGATATATAATGCAATGATATGGATCATTAATAGCATCATAGGGATTAGAAAAAAAAGAAAAAAAGAAGAAGAAAAGAATTAAAGTGTCAATCCAAACAAGGTCTTGCTAGAATTAAGACATTCTTAATCAAAATCTTTGAAGTTTAACACAAATGTGGAATTTTGTCGAAATCCCGGAATTCATGGGGCTGTAATCTGTCTCAGAACAACTAACCTACCTATATATACCCTTTCATTAGTTCATTTTATACTAGTAAGTGGATGATTATAAGGTTCTGAATTCCTTAACATAAAATATAAAAGATATGGCTTTAAAGAGACTTAAAGTTTGGTAAATGGATTAATTAATTATGAGAACATTAATTAAGAATTTGTACAGAGGTGAAGAGCAGAAACTCATGATGGGATTACATGAAAGGG